GTAAGCCACTGCAATAAGCAGATGTTCAGGAGCTTTATATGTGCCAATGTTTTGTATGTTTTTTGTTTTCTGCTTATTGCAGTCCTCTCCCATATCATGGTATGCCCGGGTGCTCAACGAAACCCCGTTTCCGCCTGCAATAAGCAGAAAAATCCCTGCCTGCTGGTCGTCCGTGACTATAATGTCCTTTTTGAGAAGATGTTAATTTTGTTCTTCTTGATATATTTGTTTGGATAGCTCGGCCTTTGCTGCACACGTTTGAGGTGCAAAGTGGAGCACTGTGGCATCAGCAGTCTCCAAGGCCATCAAAGCTGTGGAGAAGGAGAAGCCGAGCACTTGCAAAGTACAAACGGGTCCATGTTTTGGAGATGGGTTGCACCAACAAAAGCAGCATTCGCTTGCCTGTGTTGGATGCTACATGATGCTACTAGACATGTGAAAAGGTATTCGATGTAATTTTTCGGCAGGTGTGCTGTGCGTGACCTGTGCGGGATTTCCATGTCCATGGGCGATTCAATGGTGCACGTGATGGTAGTAATAACAAGGGCTGGTAAAGTTTGGAGTCTGGAGTCGTATTTTGGACCTGCAGGATTTTGATTCAGCTATTGCAGAGGAACGCTCAATACAACGACGCTGTGCAGATGTTGTACTTAGACGGTTGCGTTTCCCGTTGCGAAGGTCACTAGCGATCCTGGACTTGTATGTGTATATATATATCATTTATCCTTGCTACAATTGGCCATGTTCAATGATGACAATGCCGACCTTCCGGCAAGACAATGAACACATGCCGCTTTGTTTGCAAAGCCCTGCTGTCAGATGCGTACGTCCATGTGGCCCGTGTGCGGAGTGCAGTGGAGTTCCTTCAAAAGCGCCTGCAGAAATCACCGAGGCCGTGAAGTGGAAACGTTTTGTGCGTGGTAGTTGTCAGACTAGTATTGTTGCAATGTTTCTCCTTGATTCCTTCTACATAATAGAATCTCTCTATATATGTATATATCAAGCTATATTCTCTACATATATATATATGCAAAGGATGATTGGCACTGGCCGGCGGTTTGTGCGTGAAAGAACAATTGTCAACTTAGATAAAATTGCCACGTACCCTTTTGAACTCTATCAAATTGATTGCACATGCTTCGAAGCGCAAGCAGGGAATGCTTTGAGAAGCATCAGGGGGCGGTGATGTCGGTGGCTTGAGTAATTGCGGGTAACATAAGTACCCCCTTGGGACGACTGCAAAATGACATCCAACATGGTGGTTCAACAAATTTCTCGCCGGACGCGGAAAAGTCAAAATGTTCAGTTCAGGCTTTACTTCGATTCATTAACATCCGTTTCCACATGCTTGAGCATCAGCCTTACATGCTGCCTTTGAGCGCCAGGAAAGACTTTGACTCTGTGGTCGAGTCCTTGGACCTCACCATCAAGGGGTGCCCCTCATCATTATGCGGCTGAATGTGCAAAGTGCTACTTGTACGACAATAAAATATTACACAAAATATACTAACTAACATGCTAAACACTTAAACATATATGTTAACATGCTACCAGAATTCAAAATTTACGCTCCGCTCCAGAATTGACCCCATGCTATGAAAATCTGATGACCCAACGTGCACCGGACTTGCGCTCGGTTGCAGGTACGTAGAGGAAGGCTTTGACCTGGGCTGCCCCCAGCTGACCAATAGGGGGAAGTGGACAGTACCCTACTCACACTGGTGGGTGTACCGTTCTGGGCTCAGGAAAGTACAGGTTTAACAAACACACATATATATATATTATATATTGCGGAGTATGCGATTCCTCCCCTGAGGAACAACAGTTGGGCGTTCCGTTTTCACTCGAGCGTGGAAGTCCCTCGGTAAGCCGAAGATGTCACGTGTGGACAATTCGACTGCTACAAATCTCTAAAATAAAATTCCGACAGGATCTCGACTCCACCTGAGGTCATAGCATTCTCATGGTTGTCAGAACTTTTCTTCGAACACGTGTTTCAGCAGCCATCTCGCTTCGAAGGCATCTCACTCCTTGTAGCGACGAGGGACGGAGCTACCTGGATAGCTGGGTCCCGCCGAGGCACGAGAGCGCTCATACATCACCAAGAAATCAACCAGATCACGGATGAGGGGTGTAAGATCTGCCCGACTGGATTGTCGGAGAAGCCACTGGACATAGGCACCTTTCTCCTTCTCCGGCGAAGTGACCAGCTCCATTTATAGCTGATGTTGGCTGTGGCATATTTCCCTGACTCAATCAGAGTCCGTCCCCAATCAGCCAAATCCTTCACTCCAGCCGGCAAAGATCCCTCCACCTGGATGGATGGCTTGACGGTTGGCACCGACATCTGCCGGAGCTGGCGAGTCTCTTCCGACTCAGGCAGCAGGCGACGCTTTGCGGAGTCGGCCTTTGCAACAGCGATCCATGTCGAAACCCAGCTCGCGAAGGAGCAATCCCACTGAGCCCTCGCTGAGCACTTGCTTCAGCAAGTCCAGCGCGGACTGAGACATCTTCGAAGGGGTGGACATGTTGATCCGGGAGGAAACTGCCGAAGAAAAACACAGTGCTCTACCCTGTTGATATGCAGCCCTGTTGATATGCAGCAAACTGCAGAACACACTCAAGTCACTCAAGAGAAATCGAATTCTTTGATCTGCGAGGCACTACCCTATTAGTGCTCTCCCCACACTTAGTTACCCCCTAAGTGAGCATCCCTCTCCACGGCTGGTGAACTACCCTCTCGGTTGTTGGTCTCTTTACGATCGGCTTGACGAAGACGGCGCTGTTCTTTTTCCAAGGCCTGATATTCAAGAACAGTTTCTTCTGGGGATATTTGATATTTCTGCCGTTTCATACATGCTCTAAGCAAATCTACCGGGTCACCATCATTCTTATAGTTAACGAATCGGCAAGCGTGCGATTGGTCGGAGCCCAACGAATGAACGCTTGCATGGACCTGGCACTGTCTCTAATGATGACTACATCAATGTGCTGGTGCGGCGGTCTTCGATCGATGTCGGCGACGACGGCGAGTGCAAATGGTCATACAAACTTTTCAGTCGGTGACCACCATGGGTCGTCTTCTCTTCAAGGTCTCTCGGCATGTTCGAATGTTCAATGGCCCATCCAAAATCTCAGACAGGAGAAGCAAAAACCACTCCAGCGTGCCTGTTGCAACAGACATGGCCTGGCTTTCATCGGCCAAGGTGCTGTTCACTGCACGGCTCAATTTGAAGCTTCGCCAGGCGACTGGACACCAAAGAGCCTCTTCGCTCTCTTGCAACATCTTGCAACTTCCTTTGAGTAAAGCCTAGGATATATCCTGCCTGGGTATGGTTACCTCGGTTAGCAAAAGCAGCATCACCATTACAAACAATCATGAGTTCTTGAGGATCTATGGGTGCAAAGACAATACCTAGATCACCATGCTGTTTGGCTCGTCGGATGGCCTGGTTAGCCATGCGAAAGTCACTGATGGTTGGCCGAGGAAAGGCCTGTTGCGACAAGCTCGTCTGGACACTTAAGTCCGGACGACTCTGAGAGGAAAGCCAGTTCAAACTGCCGTTCACGGCTCGGAGAACTTTGATCTGAGAAGCATCCAGCAACCTGTCCGGTGGACTGCCCTTTGGAATGTTGATCGGTCTTATCTTATCAGCGAAAGCTTTCATGGTCATGTGAATAGCCTTTGAGGGATCCTGTTTATACCATGCACCACAAAATTCACCTTCTGTGATTCTCCATTTACGATATGGAAAGCGGTGCTTCAACTGCCGAATGGATTCCTCGAACATTGCACCGGTGCCACCCACAGCGGTGTCATCTACATGAACCCCCATGATACCCACTAGTGCTTCCGACCGTGGATCTCGGAGAGTGAACAAACAAGGGTCCAGAACACTCTGGCGCCGCCCGATGGTCTTGACAAAGCAACTGAATTCCTTAAACCAAGCAGCTGGTGCATCGTTTTGTCCATACACGTTTCCAGTCACCTCAATGACAGCATCTGCGGGGGCTTCTGGCTCTGATGAAGCAGCTTCAGGAGATCGAGGACGTTTGTCTCTACTCATGATTACATCTTCAACGAGTTCCACTTCACGCATCACATCTACGAAATCTTCTTGGTTCAGAGCAGCAGGCCGCCACAGTGTCATGGGCCCATCTTTTCCAGTCACTCTGCGACGAACCGGGCCATACGAGGAAGCTGAGGTCGATTCAGCTGTACTATCAGGTTTACCTACTTCGGTTGGTATGTCTGCTTCGGCTGGACCACTGGTGTCCCCTTGTTGGGGAGGTTGAATGTCGGCATTTGGCTCCCCAGGCGATGTCACGATTTCAGCCTGGTCAGGAGACGGTACGATAGCCGACGGTCTCTCAGCCTGCGTTTGAACATCAGGTGATTCGGGTGCAACAACTGGAGCACGGCCTGGAGCGGCCTGAACAGTATCGTCAGTGTCTTCCTGAGGTGGATATGACTGTGGAGCCAGATCCAAGTTTTGCTTACTCTTCAAGTTCCCTTGTGTGATCAAGCAATTCCGTCTCGGGAGTGGCGATGAGACACTTTTCTTCATTGGTGGCGTGACGAACTTGCTCAGGTGCACACCGAATCACATTCCTGCGATGGACTAGAATCAGATTGCGCCCTACCGTGCCTAGCATGACCGCTACTCCATACCATTGACCCCCTTGTTGAAGGTTTCCTTGTACCCACTTTTGGTTTCTCCAATAAGCAAGCAAGTCACTGGGTTGAAATGGAGTACGGGGTCTAGCTAACAAGGCAACGCGAAGGGACCGGTCATCTTGCATCTTCACTAACGCAACGCGAGCGGCGGTTCTCATCGCTTGGGCTCGAGCAAGCCTTCATCAGTTAAAGCTGTTGCGCTAGCAATCACGGAGTGTGGCTCGTTCAACAAGTCCTGAGGGATATGTGGGTTTCTGCCACACACAAATTGATGGGGAGAAAATCCATGGACTTGAAGCATTTGCTTCTTCACATGAGCATGAGCGACACATTCTAGCCATGATTCTCGGTTGAAATTCATCGATCAGATTCTCCAGGACTCGGTTGAACCAACCGCCATGAGATTCACACTTGCCCAATTGCCAATGTGCTCCGGCAGCCGTCAGCTTCAGCAGGCTTCATCATTTGTTCTCCCAGATTGGTTCTTGCAGGATCGATGACTAGCTCCTTTGGGGCCCCAGCCCAGGCAATCCAATGTTCATGCAGTAGCTTTTGAAGGACTGAGGCAGTCTCTGTCTCGAAGAATGGAATCACTCTCTGAAAACCACTCGCTGTGTCCACAAGATTCACGGCTCGAATCTTTTGGTTGGGAAGCCAACCATTCAGATGCTTCACATCCATCCCTACTTGATGATTGAACTCGGACTCTCGATTTGGTTGCGTCGGCAGAGGCGAAGTGGGACGAGCCTGGCTCTTACAGAAATCACAAGAAACTTCTTTCGCCAGTCTGAGTGCCTGGTCAGATTGGCCTGGCTTTGTGCGACGGCTAGGATCTCCCTCCAAGCATCGGTATGCACGGCATCCTCTAGCACTTCCACTAGACACGCAGGGTGTGCTCGACAGGTGTTATGCGAACAATTCCCTTGGTTCCTATCCTTGAACTTGGCAAGAGTGTTTCACACGGCTTGAACAAATTTCTTTTGGATATTGGCCAGCATATCCACTGACCTTCGCAACCCCTGGAGCATGACCGGCTACAATGTCATGACAGCTGTGCTTGGAATCACCTGCGCAAAGAAGTCCTAAAGACTGCATATCCGGGTGAGGGACGAGCAAACGGGTACTCTTACGAATGAAGTGCTCACTGGATGGCAGGCGCAGACCATACCTGCACATATGTGGAGTTTGACAGTTTCGAACACACGACACAAACTCTGCATCTCTGGATAAGTCCAGAGTCGGGACCCGGTCGGATGCTCGAACATGGCACTTCCCCCGTTTCTGGTTTGTATTCGGAACAACTTACAACACCATCGAATAATGTAAGATCGGCTCTGAGCTCTACATTTAAGATACTCCATGCGATCGCCCCTAGTGCAGTTCAGGTGCACCCATCCGCTCTCATCCGTGCACGGCGGACAGAGGACCAAGAGCTCTGGAGGATCCGAGATCAAATCTTCCTCCACGATCTTCCTGTCACGGGCGCGACGAAAATCGAATCCGGTCTTGAGATCATATGATCGAGCACGAAAGCCGGCTTCTTCGGCCTGGATGGCAAAACGGGGTGGAGAAAACACCTCCATAACCCAACATGTCCCTTTTGGTCGAGCATGCACAGCTAAACATATCTTCACTTGCGATTCGAGTTGTCGGGACTGATGTGAACTCAGGTTCAACCCAGATCCATGCTCATCATGTGAGGAACGAGGCACAAAGGTGAACACGGTTCGAACGTGAGCAATGATCTTGCGTTGAGGAGTCCCTGGATACACCCTCACATCGTCAAGAACCCTTTTTCATTCACAATCAATCACCTTCCTACGAACAACACTGTTCCACCTTAGACCTGTTCTAGACAACCAAGGAGTGCTAACCACATCACTGTTCTCCTGGGTCCATGTCAGCAAGGATGGGGCTGCAGGATCCAGCTCAAAGGATGCGGCTTCAGTGGACACCGGTGGCGTCGTGTCTGCGGACGCCGGAGGTGCAGTGTTGATCTCCGGTTCATCATCGGGAGCCTCCACCGATGCCATCACCTCATTGAAGGATGCTGTACACATGGTGTCCGACGGCTGACCTACCAAATGAACCATGTACTGTCCTGCACTGTTGGTCTCGAGAGGCACCACTTGCTGAAACACATGTAAACAATCTTTCTCAAAATTCAGCGTTGCCCCCAAAGCTTTCAATGCTGACCTGCTCAACAACAGGGGTGCATCACCCCGAATGATGGCAGCTTTGATCACTCCCCGCTTGGATGCCAAAATGACTGGCATGGCCACCGAATGAGTTGATGTCTCAATGTCACCGTTCCCAAACTTAAATTGATGAATCCCCTGCGTTTATGGAGGAACTGCCCACCCACGCTGTCGCCACAATGTCCCAAAACAACGGAGGGTGTTGATTCCAACAATCGTGCGGCCACATCCTGAGTCCAGCATGGCATAGCCGGAGGACGACACCAACAAGGCCTCCTCTGGGAGAGGTGGCGAGGCGAACAAGGAGTCATGTCGTTTCTGTCGGACTTGTTCCAGAAGAGTGAGCTGGGCAATCACGGAAGCCACAAAATCCAACTCTTCCACAACAGCAATTCCAGAGGTCGAGGCCTCATTCGACTTCGACGAAGAGGACGCACCCTTTCCCAAGCCCTTCTTGTTGATCTCCTTGGAGCGACGCTCTCGGGCCCAATGCCCCTTCTTTCCGGAGCGATTGCAGGCGGTGTGCCGCTTCAGAACTGGCGGGATTTCTGAAGCTTATTCAGCTCCTGTCGACGTTCTCCCCAGGTGGCAGCCAAAACCTCAGCCACTTCCGTCTCCTGAAACGTCTCTCCGTCGCCAGTGAGGTCAGCGGACAGCTGGTGATCCTCAATCAGCTGATCAACATTGGAGAAATGCTTTGCCCATAGATCAGATGGGTCGTCAGCTTCAGGGTCAGCGTCTTCGGCGAGGCCAATGGCCGTACGCCGTTTGGCAATCACCAACTCCGGGTAGCAAGACCGAAGAGCGGAAGCTATGGATTCCCGCTTCAAGTCTCCTCGGGGTCTCGAGATCACCACAGCTTTCTGCTCCTCACTAAGGCCAGCTCTGTGAAGAAGGAGCCAACCACGAGCTTCATCAGGAAACTGAACACCGGTTTTCCGGTAGCACCGATCAAACAGTTCAGAGGCTCGGGCACTCCATTGCTTCATATTCTCACCTTCATTGGATCGAAGGTGAAATACCTGACCCAAAATCTCCCCCAACTCATCCACGGCCTCAAGCTGGGGAGACCTTTTGTCCAAGAGATCCCAAAGCACTTGATCACCATCTTCTTTTGGTACAGCGACGGATCAACATGTTCCACCGCCTCCAAAGCCTTGCCACTCAAAAGAGTGTAGATGTAGGATATGTAGGCGCCCCGTGCGCTCTCAGGAAGCTTGTCCAAAGTCAAAAACTTGTTTTTAACCCAGGTCTTCCACCGCTTATATTCGCGGCCATCTTCATTTTCACCTGAAAACCCTCGAACCGCAGCGCTATCGGACGCGCTAGCCGCTGCAGCCATGTCACGTGTGAGGACCTCCACCGAGAGGTCTGTGTAGTCAATCGGCCATGGCAGGAGCCGGGATTTTACCCGGCTCCGCTACCAATTGCGGAGTATGCGTTCCCCCCCCTGAGGAACAACAGTTGGGCGTTCCGTTTTCACTCGAGCATGGAAGTCCCTCGGTAAGCCGCAGATGTCACGTGTGGACAAGTCGATATACATTACATTGTAACCTTTAGCACGGCCCCACTTAAGGGGCTTATGTGAGAGGTCCTTACAAGTTTTTTCTTCATCGCATCGCTTCGTGCCGTTAAGACTAAAGGACACTAAAGGCGTGAGCTCGATTGGTTGGGGAATTGGCAGGTCATGGTCTATGTTTCAAGCAGCACGCGTTGGGTTCGCATGCACGCTTGCTTGCTACGTATTTGCAGCTGCGAAGGTGTACACCGAGTGAGCAATGTTTTCGGCTTGTGTAATTAGCTGAAACGTTTCAACAGCGAATGGTCTGACATGACCAGGAAATATGTGCCCTCGCTTGATAGCGGACAGGTTGTGTGATTCTTTTGTCCTGGATGGTAATGACGCACAATCAACTGGTTACTGTGTTACTGGACTGGGAAGGCCAACCCACAACAATGTGGCAAGCGCTTTTGGCATACTGCGAGGACTGTCTTCAAGTTTTCCGTCAGTCTATCTATGGAGGGTGTGTCCCCTCAGTCTAGATATTCTCAGCACCCAGAGCCGAGTTTTTGCGCAAGACTACTGGTTCCACCTGGCAATTTTGGCTCCAAGTTCGAACTGAGTCCTGGCAGAGGGTGAAGCCCATCAGTTCAATATGTCACATCATGCCAATGCGATAGGGAAGTGCCAGAAAGAGAGACTCCAGCCTGTTGGACTAGGTGTTGGGTGACAACAAGCAAGAGCAACGTCACCACACCTGCTTAGCTGTTTGGTGCCCTGACAACCTGGCTCAAGTTCCACAAGTTCATGTTACCAAGCATGCAGCTGAGCAATGTAGGTAGCGACACGTAGGATACCCCAAGCAGACCTCAGCGCATTCTTGATCCCACCGGAGCTTTGTCCGGACAGGCAGGTGTGGCAGGGTCGCCATGCCATGCCTGACCAAAACACGTCTAGCCACAGAAGAGTTGCACGGATTGTTAGTATAGAGAATTTGAGACTCATGTTGGCCCCAGCGGCCCATACGTGATTTTGGACAATTGAAGGCATTTGTTCCAGCATGAACGAGCTGGAGCAAAAGCTGTCCAAGCGCCGGACGGTGGTTGAGGACGACGCAGCCAAAACATGCCAAAACTATATTTCACTGCATTCAATTCATTCAACTTGCTTCGTCCTTGTATGTGGTTTTTGACCCGACAGGAGAGTGGCCTCAAGTTTGAGAGCCAACCCTCTGCCCACGAGGACCAACAGACGTCAGATCTGTGGAAAGCATGCTTGTTGCATGTTCCTGCAACACTTGTAGGATCTAATAGGGCCTTAATAGGGGGGTCTTGGGTACTCAGGAGCTTCCGAACCAAGTTCAAGTAAGGGCACTTGAAAGCCTTCGTTTCCAAGAGTACTGTAATTGTGTGGACAAACAAATTGTCGACGGCGGTTTCCGAATATTTGCAATGTATATTGACTTTTGGCCTCCTGTCCTCGCTCAGTCAGTGATGGCCACGCCAGCATCGCCATACAGAACCTGTAGGGGTTCCCAGAGATGGTTTATGAAAGTATCCTAATGCGGTCGGATAGTGTTTGTTGCGCTTGTATGTCAGAGCAGCCTGGATACAGGTGCTGCGCCGCCCAAGCACAACGGAGGTTGGGTGGATTCGTTGCTGCTGGAACCCTTTGATCGCCATTTCCATGAACTTAAATTATAACCCTGGCAACCACAATGGGTAGCAGCTAGCAACAATTTGTGCAATTGACGTGCTACGTGCTGCTACTATAAAGCTAGTTGACCGAATTTGAATGTTTGGTTTTACGATTTCCGGTGTGGCTCAGTGTCCTTGGACAACGGGATTTCTCTCATTTGCATTGTTCCTCTTCGAGGCGTAGATTTCCAATCGGCGATCACCCGGCGGCGAGCCACGGTTGATGGTGATGGAGAGACGTTTGAAAGTACACCTTCGCAGAAGACGGGTGGTGGAAGGGTGGAACCTGCGCAGCTGGGTGTGTGTGTGTGTGTGCATGTCCAGTGAGAGTGGTCACCTGCCAACAGGCTGAAACATACTAGAGCCCACGGTGGGGCCCATTGGAAACACTGTCATGGGCCTCTCTATGACTCTTGATTTGAGACCAATGGCTTTTCATGCATCGTCTTGGCTTACTGTATTGGATTCTTGATTGATTTTGGGCTGACCTTGTGCAGGACCGCTGATGCTATTGCAAGCCCGCAAAACGTCATGAGACCTGCAGGCGAAACGGGCTGGTCGCCTGGATTTCCTTGGGGTGCAAGTGGCAACCGGAAACTTGTCTCTCCTGCACTCTTCTTTTGGTAGGGTAGGGTTCATGAAGGAGCCACAGGCTGGACCACACTTCCAAGCTATAACGGTTTTGAGATGCCAATCAGGCTATGTGCCCAAAAATGGAAGCGCTGACTTCAAACAAGTCATTGTCCGGCGCTCATATTGCTTGTGGTGGAGCTTCCGTTTATTTGTTGTTGAGATTTGCCTGCTTAATTATCCATGTTGTGCATGCTTCTAACAAGCACCCGCAAATTTAGCAGTTCTAAAGTGTCCATGCTTCTAAAGTGTGGTCATCGCCTCGTTAAGCCTCAAGGACCAGCAGCGCGCAACTGTAGATGGAGGTGCAAAAACCTTCGTGCCGACCTGAGGGTGGCTGATCCATGCTCATTGATGCCGTTCGCAAGGACCCGGATCTGACTGTGCAGACTCATGGGACATGAATTGGCTGCTTCTAACTGAGGAAAGCCTGCCAGCAGAGCGCACTGCTGATTGTGTTGATCCCTCAGCAGTGGGAAGAAAGGCAAATGAGCGCGTGTGACTCTCGATATGCCCGTTATGCCAAAAATGATTACAGTGAAGACGGTGATGAATTACGGTATATACTATATACCAGAATACGGTGTTTGGCAAATTTTGGGTGCCTACGCCTTGGCTGTAATTCTAAATGTGGGAAAGGGGTACATGGCCTGTGTTGAGCATGATCAGCAATCCGAGGTCAATAGCCTTCGAAGTGAGACCATGCAGCTGCCGATGTTCAAAGCCCAGTTCGGAGGGTTGAGACCTGCAAGCATGACTGGCTGCCTGGCTAAATCCTAGTCCTAGCTTTCCCAGAGTGCACTCTCCTGGCTTGCGAATGGTGCTTCGTGATAGTGTTTTCGATATCGGAGCAAGACGGATGCTTGACAGCAAGCGCCAGTCTGGCATAAGATGCGCGCGATTTTGGCATGAACTTGTCGTAGACGGAGCCAACCATAGGTCTATCCATCTATATATATATATATAACTTATATAACTAGGTCACGGGCGCACCCGTCGCCTGCTACGAAATCAGGCCTGCGTTGCAAAAACCCTTGTAAACGGAGCGTTCATGGAAAATAGTGAAAAAATGCAGGTTCAAAAACTATTTGTGTTCATCAATGCGGACCGCGCATGACATGTTATCGGCCACTGTCTGGGGCCACTTGCGTCAGAGTTTCCAGCACATCTTCTGGTGCTGACTCTTTCAGCTCTCTTCTCCAAACAATCTGCCGCACTCGTCTTTCAATGGCTGGGCTATGCACAGATGAGCCTTTCGCTTTGACCCTTCTGGGCAAGTTGGTAGGAATGAAGCTTCCTACATGCGTCATGCTCGCCATATCTCTTCTTATACAAAAAACATTATACAACATGTGTTGTACCGCTGACCACCGATGACAATGCTAAAACCGATGACAATCTGTGGTGAAGCCGATGACAATTCCGTGCAATGGAACATCCCCCCCTGCCCCGTACGAGGGGATAGTACGTATAATGTGATTTTGATGATCTTTTGATAGATTTTTATGATTTCTATTTTAATACGAAAACTGTAAATATTGAATTGCCAATGGAATTGCCAAATCCAGGAATCAATTCAATATTTTAAATGGTTTAAAGTTGAGAGTTTAGATGTACATAGCACTGTACACCCCTCCATGTTGACATGTTGTGTCTTGTCTTTTGTATTGCAGTGCTCTGACTTGTGAAGCGACTGAATGTTTGGCTCGAGATAAAACAGGCAGCGTTGCGCTTGCGATCATTGGGTACGGTCCTGGGAGGTTGTGGGACACGTACTCAACAGGTTAACAGCCTCATCCACATACATTCAGGTTTATTTTGCAAACACATCGGTTCGAGCCAAGCCTTGTGCATTGTGAGTGAGCCACTCCCACACTTGTCACTGACCCTTGGTAACTGCTGGTATCGAGTTGCTCCAGCCTCTTGCCAACTCAGGTGATTGGTGCATCGCGGCAAAGCCTCACTCAAGTTCCAGGACTTGCTGGGCGTGCTTGCGTCCGAGGGTGCATCCCCCATTTGTAAGACCAACTTCCATATTAAGCACTTTGGTGAGCCCAGAGCATCTAGACTTTGTGTGCTCCTTAGTTCAAGTCAATAATCTCTCTGAAGAACTTAGTTGGCATTTTGCTTCGATCTCTTCGACTTGCTAAGCATTTGCAGGGTGAGAACCTGAGTTCATTTCGGTTCGTACGGCTTTTGTGGTTCGAGACTGGGTTTAGCTCATCCACTTTTGCTTGGAGTGCTCGGGTGCGTGCGCGACTGTGCATGGACGAGAGGGCTCGCTCAAGGTCTGGCTCAGAAGAGCGTCAGTGGTTGCAGAATCGGTTCAACAAGATTCGGAAGGAGAAGAGGCCGGGCGCTAGCTTCAAGAGAAGATATCGCTCTGCCTGTCTTAAGCTCCTGACGTATTTCATCCGTGTTTTGACAGCCCATACTGAAGACTCTGAGTACGATCCTTACAATCCACACAGTTTGTACTTGAGTCGGCGAAGGACCCAAGCGCAGGAGCAGTTG